TAGGGGACCTGCTTTCAAAATGGCTTACTGCTCTACTGGTAATTCTTTTTCCACTAATTTAAGACTGCAGCCAAGTATAACCACAAAATGATTGCTGTCCTCAGCCACTAACAATCTGTAGAGCTTCTGGCTGTTTTAACCATCAATCTCATTCAGCTGTCTGGTGGCGGATGCAGATGAAGGAAAAGGAATCCACTTCAATGAAATCAGCTGCTTCTCTTACAAAATTCTCCACCTTCCAGCCAACAGCTCTTCTCAAGCTAATAATGTCAGATGGTTTCCCAACAAGGTACAGTGAAATGAAGAGACACCCCTCTAGCTTCACCCTCTGGCCAAATTTGGCCAGGATCACTTGAACACAATCCAGTACCCCATAGTGCATTTTCAGACCAAGCTGTTCCCATCTCCAGCTGTCCTGCGCAGTCAGTCTTCCACAAATTATAAACATTTGCATAGTTCCTACAAGACAACCTGTGCTGCTGGAGTGCAAGGAAGTAAAACGATGCCAGTAATCAGGGATTTCTCATTTTCATTACTTCCTCTCCTCCTAATTAAATGTGAGTAATGTTGGCAGTATCACCAGTGCACCAGGCCAGGAGTACTCATTGGTGCAGAGCTTCTCAAACTGTGGTCCACAAAGTATCAGCAGCAACAAAGATAGAGTCAGAGACCCAGAGCTGGACCCTAGAATCAGATTAAGCAGGTTCTTGGGGTTTTTCCCACACAGATCCTGGTGCATTCACTAGTGATACCTGTCATTCTTCAGCTCTGTGTTTCCATACTTTTCAGATTTGCGCTTTGTGTCTCACAAGCCAAGATAAAGCATTTCCAGGCTGTATCAGCTGGGAATTTTAATACGGACCAAATAGCAAAAGAAAGCAAAGTGCCTTCCCTCACCTCTTCATCCAGGAAGTTGGAAAGCAGAGCTCTAGCTGCTCATTTCAGCCACAGTGTGTCCAGCAGATGGCAACTCCCAAGTTTTCAAGATAGCAGAGACTATTACTCTGTCATTGGGAACCCACTCGATGAAATTAGAGCTTTCACCAAAAAAAAGTTTTGAGAGCTTTGACTGCTTTGGAGTGCATACAAATGTAGTATGTTTTAACAATGGAAAGGAGACACATGCACAGAAATAACTAATGGTAAGTTTGACAAATAATAAACTTCCTTGCCTCCCTTCTTTTTGTTGCCATCTCCTCTTTATAACTAGATTTCTAACAACAGCATTTTGCTGTTGAATTACTCTGTTGATTAAAGCATTACCTGAAGAGTCAGCTATAGCTATTCAGTTATTTGAAGGGCAAACTGCTGCCTCTCTAGGTAGTTTTCCCTAGCACAGGATCTAAGGAAAGCACAAGCCACTGGCAACACAGTACAGTTAGCAAATGTCCTTTTTTGAGTCTTGAAGGTTTGGGAGCTAGAAGCTGAAACAAGTAGGAATTCTGCATAAATCAAGGGGATTAATGGAATGATGCTTTTCTTTCTACAGAATTCTCTCAGCCTTTAGGATATATCCCATCCTTTTTACAAAAAAGAAAAAAAAAAAGAAAAAAGAAAATAAAAGAAAAAAAAAGAGAAGGCACTTAAAAGCACAGAAAGATAAAAGTTTGTTTTACTGACTGTGAAGAAATGCTGGATGTCTGGAGGAGAGTGTGGGAAACAAATGTTCTTCCCTGGGTATGTCACAGAGAAATAAAAATATTTCATTATGAAATAAAAACATTCTGCTCTGCAATCATCTGAGGTGATCTTTAGTCTCAAGGGTTCAGCAATTCAACAAATGAAAATCAAAGTCAATAAAAATGAATGAAGCCAGGCAAGTATTCTGTATCAGGTGGCAAAAGTTATTTTGGGAGCCTACAAACCAGTGAGTGCAGTGATACAATGACGGCTCATCTGCATCTGGCACTGTTCCAGGGAATGGCGCCTCTGAATGGCAATTCCCATTAGAGAAGTAGTGCTGCTCTTTAATATAGTTTTGCCCATGCTTCAGGACCTTAATACCCCAGAGTAGCTGCAAATGCACCAAGAGCAATTTGTGCAGGGTTCCTCATGGAGAAATGAGCTATTTTAGGAGTAACCAATCCTTTTCTCTACAATAATAGCTGCTAGTCTGCTATACCAATGGACTGATTCAGCATCAACACTGACAAGGTACGTCAGCCTCTGACACTTGTAAAGGAGCTTTGTGCTTCTTTTAACCATCAGAAAGGGGAGGAGAAATCTGCTCTGTTTTCACTTATATGAGAGCTTTTAAAAATTTTGCAGCAGGAGCGCAGCACCTAATCAAACAAAGCCTGCCAAGAACATTTAAAATCAAGGTCTCCGAGAATTTGCTTCCTATAAATTCACCAGTATTGTAAGGAAAGGATCTCTTCCTCAGAAAGGCAGCACAAATCCCACTGGAGTTGCACAGGGCTGAGGACTGTTTTCTGCCACACTGTGGGGAAGACAGCTGAAAGTACTGGGAAATAGGCTGTAGGGATGAACAAAATGTACTGGAGTTAGTGAATAGGAACGGGAAGAAGAAGAGAAAAATATGATTTCTGACAGAAATCAAAGCATTTTCTCAAAACAGAATCAAGTGCAGGAACAGGCTATAATAGACATTTAATTCATTTAATGCAATGACTGGTCTTAATACATGAAAAATAAATTCCCCTTCCTACCTAAACTATTGCCTGTTACTAACCAACTATCTAGAGAAGGGTAGAGAGGAAAGGTGGAGCCAGTAAAACTTCCATGAGCATGTATGCAAAGAGAAATCCTATCTTCTTGCAGACATGCTTTTCCTTTAATTTCACAAAGTAAAACATGTCAGATAACTGAAAACAACACGAAAAACAAAATAACAACATCATCAACCTGTAATCATTCTAAGATTTCTCATCACTAGAAATGGAAATTATTTTTCTCCTTTCACTAAGGGGAGGCTAGCCAGTACCTTTAAAATTATCTCTTTTCAGTTACTTTCTTCACTGTGAGAAGGTGAAGAGCTGCATCTATTACAACTACATGCTGTGCAAAACTCATTTGGACATGATCATCATCTATCACTCCTGCTGCGCAGGTAGCATGTGAAAGGGAAACAAAACAGAGATTGTGCTGCAGTATTTGACACCACCCACTCCCCTGCTCACATGCTTCAGTTCACCTAGAGCCCGGCTGCCACACAGGAATCCTCTTTTTGGGACCCCCACCTATTCTCTCCCTCCAAGCATAGCTTGGAGCAGCTCTGATGGTTTTAGGGGGGAGGCAGAAACCTCTCTTTCTCTCCCAAAGCATTAAGGTGTTCCTACTGAAAAGCATGCCAAAGATAAATTATTACGTGCAACCTTGCCTTTGTAAATACACACACCTTGCCTTTGTAAATACACACACATTACTTGCAGCAGTACCTCTTCTCATCACATGGATATGTTTCAGTGGAAGATGAATATTGCAAGAAAAATCAGAATGCCTGTATCCTCTGAGGCAGTGCTGTGCACAGTCCTGAAAAGAGCTATTAATGCCAGCACCCTACTTCTTTTCTCTAGCTCACACTTCAACTAACTGTCAGTGTTATCCATAATCTCGACCAGGGACAGTCAGCAGAAGCACAGAACTTAAAAAAGCAGGAAAGATAGTGTTTCTCTTTTTCAGAAAGCTCTGGAGTAAACTGCAATAAATATTAGATGATTTTTAGGGAAGCAGAAGCAACCAGAGTTAGCTTTGAAAGACAGAATGCAGCCTTAACAACACTCTACCAATTCGCATAGATGCAAAGAGTTGTGTTTCACAGCTCTGGTTAGCACTGTGTCAGTTCAGGGGACTTGCACTAGTTTGTCACATCCTGACTCTTGGTATGACTCAGGGCAGCAGGAGTTGCCTGCACTTTGTGTTTTCTGATGCACTGCAGCGTGCCCGGCTTTGAACAGCTGTACAGCAGCGCACACTAGAGAACAGCTCTCTCCATCTCACCCACAGCCCTCTGAGCGCCTCCAACAACTCAGGAGAGCACAGACAATCAGTAACACGGCAGGGTAACACCCAGCTGCAAACACACACCCCCTCCCTGAGCGTAGGGACAGGACGGGTGTCACTTCACAATTCTCCTTATTTCCCTCAGTATCTTAATAAGCTACTTGGGAGGAACAAGCCCTCTAAAGGCACCTCCTGAGGATCCTGTAACAGACCTTCCCACATGGGATTCTGGACAAGAAACACTGAACTAGAAATCCCGTCCTGCCTCAGCAAAGATGCTATTCCCTTTTTTACAGGACTAATAGCATTTGTGACGTGGGTCCCCCCCACTGTGCTTCTCTAGTCTCCAGCTAGAGCCTAATCTCCATCACAGGTAGTGAAGTGCCCAGCCATCTCATTTATTAAAAAGATATTGACACACGCATGCCTCACAGCGATTTGATAAGCTCCTGGCACAGAGCAGCAGCCCCAGAAGCAGAGAGGAGCGCTCTGGTCTCTCTCCACTCACGTCTTCAACAAGGAATGGCAATGCCAGGACCCACCACTGACAGTAACAGAGAATGATCACCTAGAGATTCCTGATACAGGCTTTAATGTTCTATGTACCAAGTGTGCCATCTGCAATACAGCAACGGATGTAAGCACGTGCTGAACCTTACAACCATGAATGGCCTCAGTGATTGCTCTAGGACTATGCATAACTTTTGAGGCAAACACATATAAGAATGAAAGATCGGGGCATAAAAAAGCATACAACTCTCACTGGAACAAAGTGATGAAGGCATTCATGAAACTGACCTCTACAAACACACTCTTTTACCTTCTACCACAGTTCTGAAATGCAGCTGGAGGCCACGAAACGAAAGGATGAAGAAAACCCCCTGCAGGTTATCTACACAAACTAATGAGGCCACAAAAACAGTAGCCTAGGCACCACTTTGTTCAGCTCCCAGGTTTAAGAGCAGCAACAAGTTCACCTTCCATCTCAGTAAACAGACACAAAAGCAACTGTTTTATGGTTCCAAACATGTACTCACCCAGAAGAGAAGGTTGAAAACAAACATTAGGTACTTGATACACTGCAGACAGTTGTGAGCCATGCTGCACCTCTTCAGTTCTAGGAGAAAAATAAATGAGAGATCCAGGTAAAAGACAACGTACTTGTTTCCCTTGGGGGTCGTGTACTTAGCCTTGGTGGCCTTCGGGCCTGGGTTGGTATGAAATCCAAAAAAAGAGTTGCTGGCAGCCCCAAACTGGCCACCATACATGCTGCTGTATCGACGGAAGGCGCCATTTGGGAAACTGTAATCCTTGCTGTCCAGGGAAGGGCTCCTGTGATAGGTGGACTCATCGGTGCTGGACCTGCGCATGGTGGCTTCAGCTGTCCCGTTCCTGCTGCTCTGACAGCCGTCGGGCGAAAGGTTGGTGATCGTCCTTCCTCCTCCTCCTCGCTAGGAATCCCCTATTGCTTTGCACCAGCTGTTCTTTCGACTGCCATCCTGCCAAGGAGTTACGCGTGCTGTGCGGCAGCAAAGTTGGTGAATTGAAGTCTGCTTAGCCAGAAGTTAGGGAGCAGCGTGCTTCCACATGAGAAAGACTTCTGCACAAGTAAACATTCCCGTCACTGTCACGATCGTCCCTCCCGGCCCACCCCGCTACCAGGGAAGGAAAAATCAGAGAGAGATATACTGTACCCAGAGCAAAGAATTTTTAAAAAAGGAACCGTGACCTCGCTCGGCTCGCAAATGCCATACAAAACCCCGGCTCCGCATGCCACACACGGACAAGAGAGTGCCGCTGCCCGAGACCCGCGGCAGGGGCAGGGATTATCCAAAAGGCGAGCAGCTGCCGCGGCCCCTTCCCGCCGGCCACATCGCCGCGCTCCCCGCTCCCCGTTCCCGCGGCTCGCCAGCCCCGCCGCTCCATTCCCGGCGCGGCCGCCCCTCCTCCGAGCGCCGCGCCAATGGCGCTGCCCGCCCGCCCGCCCGGCCGCGGCCCACACCCGCCCTCACAGCCTCGCCCGGCACCGCGGGCCCCCGCCCCGAAACTCCGAGCGCGGCGGAACGGCGCGGAGCCCCAACCTGGGCGCGGGCGGCTCTCGGGGGCTGCCCGGATACACAGGCGGCGCTGCCGAAAGGAACGGGAGTGAGTAAGTGCTGTGAAGGTATCGTACGCAAAAGCGTACCTTCACACGGCCAGGACACACCGTGCTCCCCTCGCCGGAAGGCTCGTTTGTTCCGCTGCAGATCCATCACCGGGATGTTCCTAATTCGCTCAGTCCCATGGAACCATCACTCAGCAACGTGGATGGCCAGATCATTTGTCCCCCTGTCAGAACGCACTGATCGGCATCAAGCTCCGTACGCTGGGGAGCACTTCCCAAAAATCTGACAGCTCCCACAGGCAGTAAAGAGTTGAAAATGTGCCACACACAACTTTTTCGGGATGGAAAAATCTTACGGAAACTGTGGCAATTACAGTATCAATAGTCAGGAAAGCAAGACTCATTTACCATCTTTGCCCCAAATTCCCTGGGCAAGTAACTCATTTATCTCCGTGTGTGCCACCTCCTTATCTGTCTGCCTCCTCTATGCCTTCCTCCTCTGTCTGCCCTTTGAGTTTGACTGTAACCTACTGAAACCACGTCAAAAGATGGCTGGCTAACAAATTTTTAAAACGCCTGCCCAGCAGAGAATTAATCAAGATGAAAACAGGTTTCCTTCATGAAGCATCTTGCCAGTCTCAGCACAAATCAAGAGACACGGGCAGCAATTAATTAAAGAACAAATTAGTAAAAGTAAAATGAGCTGGTTTTGCACATAGCCTAAGCAGTCTGCCCCTGCAAACCACCCTCTAATTCTGTTAATTTACAAACTGCAAACTTAAAGTCTATTTCCCTTGGTTTTCTCCACAAACTATAAATACACTGACCATACCTTGTGCAAGCTTTAGAGAGAAAGAACCTGAGCACAAAACACGAGGGTAATAACTCCTGCACCATCTGTTTCAGTAACTTTGATGACTTAAAATTTTTCCACCTTTTAATTTCCCTAACTCTAAAATTCGTTTTCTACTCCCCTCCCTTTCCTGTACGATATGAACTCTGCCCCCTTAAAGGAGTCTTCCTCCCCCAGCACATAAAGATGGTCCAATGGAAGCAGATCTGTTCTCAGAGTTCCCAATATACTATTAATTTTTCCTGTGGTACCAAACAGTTCTGCCTCCAACCTTTCTCCTCACCTGTATTACAACTAGACCAGTTTGGTAATAGATACCCAAAAATTGTCCAAGTATTTTCTACATTTTCTGTCAGTATACAAAAATGTCTGTGCACGGAGCATCATATTAAATGGTGAAAGAAAAACTCGGTATAGCTCAGCACACAAATTATGCTGAAGCAGTGACAAGTCAGATAACTGTTATTTAGCAAGGGTGCCCATGGTACCACATTTAACAGAGGAGCATTTGGCATATTTACCGTAAACTAGACAACTGAAGCCCAAAGGCAGCTCATTGCTATGTGGATAAGAAAAGGGTTAGAAATCATGTGCCTTCCCCTTTCCTGAAGGCAAGAAATCATCAATTCTTAAAAGAATTAAGTCCTTAATACAGTGGAATAATTCATAAAGCCAAGATCTTAAGGTAGAAGGAAGAGTTTCTAAATGTTTATTTTAAATAAAAAGTAATAAACATCAACACACAGTGGATATATTTCAGACAGATGCAGAAAATTCGTGAGGAAGGCTGAAGTCCTGCATAACCCTTACAATAAAGGGTACTTTTTCTCCAACCTCTTTTCACCATCATCCAGTAGCACATCTGATGGAAATGACATCTTTTTTAAGGCACTTAAGTGTAAAATGTAGCTCTCAAGTAGTTGCTTATAATAACAACAGCTAATTAGAAACAGAGTCATTTAGTAAACAGGCATTACAATCATTCTTTTATTAAATCTTCCACACCAGGAAACCCAGTCAGAATCTCTAGCTTAAATAGGAAATCCTTGAGAAAGCAATGTTGCACCAACAGGCTAACTGCAGCTTGAATGACACGCTTACATGAGGGAGGGATGTCCTGCATGGGGATGGAGGGAAATCAACAAAAGGATAAGCGCTGGTGTACTCTACTCTTGCCCATCCCTGGTGTGAAGTGAATGGAAAGGGCATACTGGGGCTTGTGCTGACATTTAAGCAGTTTAACAATAAAGTAATGTGTGAACCAAGGAGAATAAACCTTGGAAGTATTGCATTGCTGGGCCATTGTGTCTAAAGTGTGACCCAAAGGGCAGGCAAACTAGAGCTTTCACAAAACTTTTTGTTAATGACTGAGCCTAAAATCAGAGCGTGGACCTAGTGACCTCTGCTCAACAACTATTTTTTCTCTCCCCAGCTACATCTCTATATTCCCATCCTGTGGCCAATTCATATTGATTCCTCTACACAAGAAAGCAAGCACTGTGCAGTCTCGCCAGCAGAGGTTCAATTTGTATTGATTCTGGTGGCACGCTACCATTTAGGTTATAACAACTCTGTCCCTGCCACTTTGAGTGGAGTGCTGGTAACCCTTCACTGTCTCCAGCCAAAACCCTGGCCCTGAAAGAGAAGAGGCAGCAGTCTCACTCTAATGACATCAGGTGAACTCCAGGCAATAAACTGTAAAAGGTTTGGGCAGCAGGGGCAGATCTCTTAACTGTGTTATCCCTCACACCCTTTCTCTGAGCAGCCTCAGCTTTCACCTGAAGACACCCAGCTGCTTGTTCAATCCACACTTCGCACATCACCCTGAGCTGCAGCCACCACAGACCCCACACCACCTCCCTTATTATTCTGAATACTGCTTTCTCTTCTTCCTCCATGATTTAACACTCACGACCACAAGACATCAGTGCCTTCAGCTCACACAAAATGCAGCACTAATTCACCTCCTCATTAATTTACTCTCATAAGTCCTTTAATGGTTGAACTAGTTTTCCCCCTACTAATGCCTCTTGTCACTGTCTTCAAAATTCTGCATACCTGCTCCATCCTCCTAATGAAACTTAGAATTAACCTCAGTAGATTTTGTTAAGAAGTAATCCACAAAATAAAATTTTTAAGAACCATGCTAGAAGGTATTAGTGAAATACACTATATAAAACAGGGTATGGATGTGACAACTGCCCCTGTTCTGCAACAAAGGAGTGTGCAAAGGCATGCACATGACAGGTGACATCATGCCCAGTAGCTTCAGTGAACAACATAAGATCAAACATTAGTACAAGAGTGGCATATTTTTGTGAGTTACTAGATTTGCTTCACACCACAGCACTGAAATCAGCTGAGGGTGATTAACTCATGAATACATTCCAAATGCTCAACTTTTTAATTTCATCTACATACAGAGATCAGCACAGAAAAGTGGTAATCAAACCATTCTGTCCCGGCCTGTCTTTTTCTTCAGCAATATGCCTGGAGAGAGATCCCTTGTTTCCTGACCCAGTGCACTCTTTGCAGCTACTGTTTGGTTATGTTTGATTCAGTGATGCAGGTTTTATAAAAATTGTACCTCTTCCAACAGTCTAAGAGAAACATCTCTTCGGACTGGAAGGTGAAACAAAGTTCAGGGCCAAGCTGGTTGTTTCAGCTAGGATGAAAAAAAGCCTTGTGATGGAGTCTTTGATTTGTTTGCTTTTGTATATTCATTTTGTATGAATATAAATGACTAAAAGAGCAAAGCAAAGAGAATGAAAATATGATTTTTAACCTGTCAGCCTCACACTGCCAGAGGTTTTCAGTCTCTGCTCAACCATGCCCAAGACTGTTTAGTGTCTTCGTAAGTGATATAGTGGGATACAGCAAACCCTCACCAAGTTTGCAGATGCCAGCCAGCTGAGTGGTGCAGTCACCACACCTGAGGGATGGGATGCCATCCACAGGGATCTGGACAAGCTCTGAAAGTGAGTCCATGGAAACCCCACGAGGTTCAACCAAGGCCAAGTGCATGGTGCTGCACGTGGGTGGGGGCAACCTCCAGTATCAGCACAGGCTGGGGGGTGAAGGGATTGAGAGCAGCCGTGCCCAGAGGGACTTGGGGACACTGGCCAGCATGGCCAGCAGGTTGAGGGGTGTGATTCCGCCCCTCTGCTCTGATGAGAGCCCACATCCAGCTCTGGAGTTCTCAGTTCAAGGAAGACATGGACCTGTTAGGAGTGAGTCTGCAGGAGGGCCCCAAAGCAATCAGAGGGCTGGAACATCTTCCCTCATGGGAAAGACTGAAAGAGTTCAGGTTGTTCAGCCTGGAGAAGAAGAGGTTCCAGGGAGACCTCATTGCAGCCTTTCAGTACCTAAATGGGGCTTAAAGAAAGATGGGGACAGGCTTTTTAATAGGACCTGCAGCAATGGGATGAGAGGTAATGTTTTTAAACTACAAGAGAATAGATTCAGACTATATATATATCTATATAAGGAAAATTTTTTTTATAATGGGATGATGAAATACTGGAGGAAGTTGTCCAAAGGGGTTGTAGATGCCCCATATCTAGAAACATTCAAGATCAATTCAAGCAGCAATCAACAAGTTTCCTCCCTAAATCCTGCTCGCTCCTAAAAATTCACATGGTGCAATGTAAGCAAGGTGCAGGTGGGTCAGGAGGAGCCATTAAAACCAGCTCCCGAAGCAAATGCCAGGTATGTTAAAGCAGTCCCCTAAGAAACAGGTAAATCAAGCCGTATTCAGTTCTACTCTGGGCTGCAGGTCCTTCAGTTCAAAGAGTATGACCGTGGGGCTGTAAGCTGAGGAAATCTCTAAAATCTTTTGTTTTCAAAAGAAATAGGATTTTTTTTTTCTTTAAATACGTGATGCAGAAGATAGTATGCTTCACTGCAACCTCAAATTTACCACA